AGAGAGAGAGAGAGAGAGAGAGAGAGAGAGAGACAGACAGACAGACACACACACAGAGAGAGAGAGAGAGAGAGAGAGAGAGAGAGAGAGAGAGAGAGAGAGACAGACAGACAGACACACACACAGAGAGAGAGAGAGAGAGAGAGAGAGAGAGAGAGAGAGAGAGACAGACAGACAGACAGACAGACAGACAGACAGACAGACAGACAGACAGAGAGAGAGACAGAGAGAGAGAGAGAGACAGAGAGATTTGAAATGACAGCGTACGACATACAGGTCAAGCCCTTGTTGCCGTCGAAGGTACTAATGGAAAAAGCTAACTTTCAATTGATCTTGAGATCGAGAACATATATTGAGTAGTTTTCCAAAGTATGTACTACTTCTGAAAATAGCACAATTTGATGGATAAACAATATTAATGAAAGTATTAAGAAAAAAAGAGTTGTTATAGATAGAAAACAAACAGTTCTATCTTGGCTCAGAAATAGTGGCGCGTTTTTATTATAGTATTGTAAAGATCACATATTATGTCATGCGGCGTCGGTGGTCTAGTGGTTAGGCTACCAGACTCGTAATCGTTAGGTTGCAGGTTCTCGGGTTCGAGCCGCGGGCCGACGTTGTGTCCTTGGGAAAGGCACTTTGCGCGAATTTTCCTCTCTTCACCCATTTGGGAATGGGTACCCGGCCATAGACCGCGAAAGATCTTGTCAGTATGCTTGTGTTTTAGCGCCTATAAATGGCTGCTTGCACTGTATGCTTCCCAGGAAGTTGAGGTTGTTTCAGGGTGCTCTCAGATGTTTTGGGGTAATAGTATAGATTGTGAAGTGCATAGAGCTTGCTTCTGAGCGGGGATTTGCGCTATACAAATGCTATTATTATTATCTATTATATGGAAAATAGCAGCCGAAGAAACATAATACAACATAATATTGATAGATGCTAAGTCCTGTTGGCGACGGAGACCTACAGGAAGCTGAAGCAGTTTGGACGTGTTACAAAATTTGGGCGACTGGCTAATGTGATCATACAGACAGCCTCATAGCAAGGCATAATTGCAAGAAAACGAGTCTGACTGGAGAGAATAGTTATTGTCTTCCAAGGTGTTGCGTCGGTGTTATGTTGTTGTCTGTGTGTACGTCCGACTCGTTTCCGTTTCATCGAGAACATGATGCCCCAGTTCAGAAGTGAGCAGCAGTATGCCCCCACCTACGACGAGAGTGGCGTTAAAGAAAGGCCTAACAGCTCTTTGTGTTTGTGTTCTTCAGTCGTAGCCTTAAAAGGGTTTTTAAATTTGTTTGTTTGCTTGTTTGTTGTTGTTTTTTTAATTTAGGGAGTTTTACATCAATACAGTTTACATCATCAGGGTCGAGCCAGGCTGAGAGTGATACAACATCCCAACACAGAGATCGAGATGCTCAATAAAAATTTCTCCTCACTCGGGAGTGGAACTGGGGTCACCTGTGGGCAACAGAAGCATCTGATCGCTACACCACAGACCCTGGTAGCCTTGAAGAGGGCGAGAAATGATGAACATAATCTTTGTGTGTCTAATTATCAAACTTAAGCATGAAAACAACCGTTCTGGAAACACTGTGTTTACGTCCTTTCACATGGTTAAAAATACATTTTAAGTATTCCACAAAAGCATAAGGTGGCGTCGTTAGTGACCCACACTCGTGAGATTGAGGGTTAGGGGGTTCGAGCCTCACCTCGGTTCGACAATGTGACCTTGTGACAGGCGCTTTATAAGAATTTCCTATTGGCTCCGTCCTTTCATAGCTGGATGTTCAACTCAGAGGTCCCGCCTCTTAATACTGATATTTTGTTAGGGGCGTTAAACCCATCCTATTTCACCTTTCGCAAAAAGCATGAAAAGCTAGTTGGCTTTCATAGGCATAAACATGGCTTACGAGATTGCAACGGTGAGATTTTCGCCCTCGTCCACCCGCCCACAGCTCTTAAGTCGGTCGAAGTTTCGTTTTAGGTCACTGGTCAGTTAAGAATTAAGATGACCACTTTCATGGTACCAAAATTTAATATAAAATCCCTAAAATTCTGATTGCCATGCCCTGGTGATAATGTCGTTTATAGCATGAGTCAGGGGGTCATTTTTGCAACGCATAACGCATTTCCGGAATGCAAAATGTCATGGTGTTCTCTATGCCCAGGAAACTTACGGTGTGTAATAAGTGGTTGCGTTTTACCCGCACCACCAACTCCTTTGCTTTGCCAGAGCCCCACGGTCGGTTGCGCCGAATTCTTCAACCCTCACCCGACCCCACCCTACCACCCCTACCTTCCGCCACGCCGGTTTATGTGCGCGCGTGTGTGAGTGAGTTTGTCCCTGCGTGTGCGCGTGTGAGTGAGAAGCTGGTGAGGCGCTCACGCTAAAATTCCCACAAGCAGACGCCTCCTGTGCCGAAGTTCATGCGCCGAGCTTTCCAACCTGTGGTCATTCTCGACTCGACTGGCAGTCACGCGCTACTAGGTCAGTCTCGTCGTCGGCTCACTGGAGTGCCGGTGCATGTCCTTCTTGGTGAAGCTTTTTGCTGTTTTGTGAAACTTTGTGCAACAGTTCGATTGAAGTTGGTTGGCTACTGTTGTGGTTTAGTTGACGACGCTCTTGTATTCACCACATCGTGATTTCTTGTTGTCTAAATACTTTCATCTTGGAACAATTTCGTGTTTGGTTGCGAATTTTTTTCGTGCTGTAGATTTAACGCTTCTCGTTGCTCTCGTTGGGAAGTAAATCAGGTAAGGAGTGTGTTGTACGTTCACCTGTCTCTCTCTCTCTCTCTCTCTCTCTCTCTCTCTCTCTCTCTCTCTCTCTCTCTCTCTCTCTCTCTCTCTCTGGCTCTTTCTTTCTCTTTCTTCCCCTCGTTCTATTTATTTCACTCTCGCAGATCAAATGTCTGCTTGTTCTTTCTGTTTGTGTCGCTTTACACATAATCTGAGATTGAATTATTGTGTAACTGAGATAGAGTGTCCCGTTAACCTTTCGAAAGGAACAGCGATTCTCTAGCCTGACCTCAATAGTATGTCATTTCAGAGGTTGTTTTTGATCAACGAAGACGTTCATTCTCAGAAAGGGGTCGTGTGTTAATCAGACTTGTTAGTTTCCGTAGTCTCTCCCAATAATATACCTGACTGCCATGGCACTGTTGGTTAACTAACACTCTCGGACTGAACAAGGATGTGGGGCTTTGATTCCAAATGGGGTCCATCCTCTTTTGCGGGTTGTTGGAGGGTGCCAATTGTAGGTCCTTTGTCTTTTCCTTCCCTCTGTTGTTGTTTTTTCTCTGTGTGTCTTGTATCTTCCCTCACTATAATATGTCCATTGCTGTGTCGACGTGCTTCTTTTTAATCAAACTCAAATCCATCCCTTCTTAGGTTACGAAAAGAAATTATATGACTCCAGTTGATGTAATGCTTCTTTTTGTTCAGAGAAAAATTATTCTTCTGTAGAAATTGAGCACGCTGATGAACAAAAGAGGTTTCATCGAACATTTCATTTCAGCAATTTACGGAAGACGAATCAGAAATCTCAAAATAAAATCGTTTTACAATAATATGTTCCTTTATAGAGGAAGAAACAATATAAGATGTGCAAACGATATGACTGTATGTTTAAATATGCCACTACCATATTCTTCTCGCATAGTGGAAGAACTTGCCGAGTTTTATTTAATATGATTCGTATAAGGAAAGAATATCATGGTTCTTGTCTGTTTCTGGATTCGAGATTTTTTGCAGTGACACCAAATCAAGGTTGTCATGTATTGCTTTTAGCATTAGGCCTATGCCAAGAAAGAGGGGCCCTCGTGTCCTAGAGGTAGTGTTCGTCTCTCATGCAAAGGTCCCGGGTTCGAATTCGAAATTATCTCCTTTCACCTCCTTACTTGCTCTCTAGCAATGTTCTGTCGTCTGCTTTCGTCTTTACTTGTTGCCCCCACCACCTCACCTCCTTTGCCCCCTGCTCTGGGCTCCAGACTCTTTCTGTAGCCTTTCTTTTGCTACTCCTTGACTCCTTCTTACTGCTGTCTGTAAGCCACACCCCTGATCTTCAGGTAGGAAAGATCCACACCTAGCCTTCTCGGACAAGGGCGAAAGATCTCGGAGGTCCCGTGTACAAGTTGCTTCGGCCGCCACCTGGGCAAAATTCAAAATTTCCTACCAACTGAAAATGTTTGATGTGTCCCGCTCGCTCATATGACCTTGTGCAGTTGCGAGCGCCGTAAAAACAGTTACCAAACAAACAAACACCAAGAAAGATGAGACGCTTGAGAAAAGAAATGAAGTGTCCCAGAATGTAATCTAATTAGCAATAAATTGTTGTGGTGTGGTGGTGGTGTATTGATAGCGCCATGTAGGTGTTTGACATTTTTAATCAGCGGGTCTTTCTTTTTAAAAGATTGATGGGTGTCGTGATTGGCTATGTCTCCTCTACCTTCTTGAGAATGTACGTACAGTGTTCTTCTTTTCGACACGTTCATGTTTATAACCCTGCCGTTTCTACTGACGTCCGTTTAGCCCAGTGCTTGCCAACTTGGGCTATATCTCCCATTTAAGGGCCATTTTGTGATTTGGATGGGTGGTGGGTATCACCTAATAGTGACAGCTGTTATTCAATGCCACATATGGAAATAATACTTTTTACACATTGTAGATGGGTGGGGCAAAATTGTTGCTTATTAAAGGTGGCAAAAGTGGGCGCAGGCTAAAGATTAAAGTGACAAGCAACGAGTTGGACGCTATGCCTTGGCGTACAATAGACGTGAGTTCTTTTCCCGAGCGGGGAACATTTTTATGGGGTATCCCAGTTTTTCTGGTGAGATGTTGTATCTTTCAAAGCCCGGATTGGCCCTGGCAGGCATGATCTAAATTGACATTACAATCACAGTAAAACAGTCCTGTTTGTCAGAATCGTTATTTTTCGCAGAGCGACGATCCGATAATGTGAGTACCGTCTTTGTCAATGGTTATGTCAGATTACATTAGACCATTTATTTGTAAGTTACGAGCAATATACAATTTCCTAACAAGACTGGTGGGATATTTCATTTGAGTTCAGTGACCGCCTTGATGCCAAAACAGGTTGTTTGTTTCATAACTGCTAGTGTTCCTTCCTGTGAATCAGGCTACGACTGGATGGGGGTAGGGGGCGTCTGAAACGGAATAGAATAGGCTATTTTCCGGGTTACCCGAACTTTACGTTTGACGTCAGTTTTCTGTGTAAGACGTAGTCAGCAGTCGGCAGAAGTCGTGAGCAGCGAATGGAAAACACATCAACGAGCTAACAGAACCGCTGTTCGGAATATCGGTAACAAGACGAAGGGAAAAGAGAAAGTGCGATGGTTTTCTTCGTTCTCGTCTCAGGGGCGGGGTTGAAAATGGGACTTGTTGCTGTGTATACGAATCCCACATGGGTTTCTTTCTTTCTGGCCGGCATATTTGTCTGTGTTAGCTGTATCCTCTTAACCCTCCTGCTGTGAATAAATATAGGTCAGACAGAGACAACTGCTGAGTCATAGTCATGTGTGCCCCCTGTTTGGAACTACCGGTAAATGTTGTGGTGGTGATGGTGGTGGTGGAGGAGGAATGGGTGGTTGATGGGTGCTCTGGTGCGGTTTGCTCCTTTCTTCCTGTCAAACATCTATCGTCCTTATCTCTCCCCCAACTTTTTTGTATGTTACTCTCTTGTAAAACCCGTATTCTTCGGCTCTTGTATGATCTTATTGTAAGTTGTATTGTGTTGTTGCAAGAGCCGCAAAACTCTAACTTAAACGGGAGAAGGGGGAGGAGGAGGAAATCTTCATCAACTTTACCAATAAAATCTAGATATTCTAGAAGAAGAAGAGCAAATCTGTGAGAGCTGGGAATAGCATAATTCTGTCTAACGAGCGAGTGTTCATTAAAACCTACACTGAATATTAGAGATAAAATCGAGGTGAATGAACGCTTCAAAGATTTATTTGAGGGAGCGAGAAGCGTTTCTTTATTACGCGGGCCGGCCCGCCGATCCTGAAACAATTTTCTTAATATAGTGTTGTCGGTCATGGAGAGCAATTTGACAGGTCTGGTTACAGTAATCGGAATAAGTTCTCAATGTCAATTTCTGATTACTGTCAGAAGCCGAAGTCTTGCGTATTGTGTATTTTGTATAATATGAGAGTGTACGCGTATGTAGGTCTGAGAGCTGTCTGTGCAATTCTTGTGTGTGCTTGTGTATGTGGTTTGTGTGTGTGTGTGTGTGTATGTGTGTGTGTATGTGTGTGTGTGTGTGTGTGTGTGTGTATGTGTATGTTTGTGTGAGTGCGTGTTGGTGCAATTTCTATCCTTTGATTCGTCTGTTAAGTCGAGTGAAAATTCTGCATTACACAGCGCTTAGAGCCTTTTAGGGATTTATGCGCTATATAGATTCCCATTAATAATAATAATGATGATAATAATAATAATAACAAAAATAATAATAATAATAATAATAATAATAA